CTCGACCTTCGAAAGAGACAGAAGACACAAAAGCTCATCGTCTATGGATGGTCCTTGGGTTGATTCTTCGAACTCTGTACAAAGCAAAGATGTTAACAAGCAACAAGAAGAYGAAGAAGAACGATCATCATCTTCGTCGAGGAAACTTTTAGATGATCTTTACCAAAGTGAAGATTGAGTAAAAAAGTTGTATTCTTTGGTTCAAAATTTGTTAASATATATATGTTGTTCCTACTGTGAAATTCTCTGTTGGATTAATGAGTTTGATTTACTATATACAACTTTAGTATCATGAGGGGAAAAAGAGTCTTTTCAGAACTCAAAAGCATTGTTGAGCTGGATGGAGAAAGAAGGTTGAGCAATGCTTGCAAGAGGAGTATCAGCTCTAACAACTATTCCGGTTCGTCCCATGTTCCCATTCCACTTGGACCGACCAAACTGCGGTTTTGGAGAAACCCGAAACGAGAGTTAATAATAATTGAAATGAGAGTCGAAATGACAACGGTCAGAGAGAAAAGAAGAAAGAAAGATTGGCTTACGGAAAGAGATGCAAATGCTGAAGGATGAGCGGTGATCGCGCAGCCACATATCATATTGATGTTATCATTCAACGAGTGGATAACTTCGGTTTTCATCCCGGGATTGCTTCCACCAAACGTAGAGCACACGCTGTGTTTCCGTCTTTATGAGTAACCAAAGCGCACTTAGATTGAAAAAGAGAAAAGCTGGTTTAAATTTAAAAGCTTTTTACCTAAGCTGGATTGCCGGTTTCATCATGATACCGGACTTACGCCAAGCCAAGGCTTGACAAACACCTACTCCAAATGATTTGTCAGGCCAGTTTACCATTGATGTGATTCGTGTTCCTTGTTTAGTCTGTTTCATCAAAGTCAGAAATCAGATTTCCAAGCTCTTGAAGATATGACAATGTGAATATACTTGATCAATTACTAACCAACCTTGCAAGAAAAACTAAATCTCATATCGCCTGGATGTTGACCTTGCGCTTGAAGAATACCGCCACAAAAAGGAACAAAGACACTAGTCGTCAATCCCTCACCAGATACATATGTTAATTGTCCATTTGGAAACTGTAAGTCTACAAAAGACTGTTTCATGGGCAGAATTAGTTCTACTATGTAAGCATATATAGGCAAAACACGCATATACGCTTAGGAAGACTTCAAAAGTGAAGACACTTACGCAAGCTAAAGGATTGAGGCAGAGCATTGACATCATAAGCCATCTTCGATGCTTTGACCAAATAGCTGGACAAAGCGAATGCATACCTTTCTGAAAAGATATTACCATATGATATTACTCGAGTTTTGAAAGGAGCAGAAACTTGAGATGTGAAGACTAACACAAGCAACACAATCATACATCCATTGAGACAGAATATGATAAGTTTGAGCTATAAGTCTATAAGCATACCTTTCTATCATATCCATACCAGAGCAAGTGTTGCTTTGATAAATGAACAGGTAAAAGAAGAGTTGAATCGCGCATAAATAGCAGCGGACCAAGCTGGAGTAGAAAGAGAGACGAGCTATCAACTCTTGCGGTAGAGCTTGAAGCAGAAGCTTCTACTCTCCAAAGATCTCCCCTGGCTGCTAATGAATGTTCCATACCACTTGTTCTACTTTCATAACTTGACGATATCTCAACCACACCCTACAGTTAATAGAGCCGAAACTGTAATCTGTAAACATATTTCACATTCTAGGCAAAATCTCCAATGAAACTTGTTTCACAACATCAACAGTTTAATAAAAAATCTAACTGACAAAAGCCATAGTAGCTCAACTGAATCCTATCTTCACATGATCTCAATCAACAAGCATCTAAAGTTCCAAAACTTTGCATACGGTCATACTCAATTCTCTATAAAATCACCAACATTACAATCCAATCTAGATAAAAACTTGAAATTGCAGAACTACAACATTGTAGAACAAGTAAGTACCTTTGGTCTCCCAAGTAATCCAATAGTCTTTAAATCAAATTCTGTAACTTTCTCCTCCAACACAGTAACAGAGTCCTCTTTTGTGTCTGCATAAACCCTATGACTCCTTCTAATAGTATCTCTCTCAGTAGAAACCGGACCGTCCACTTCATGTCGAAACGGTATAGGCAACCTTCTAAAGAATTGTTGAACCATCACATTCAATCCAGCTCCAAAATCAACACCAGCTTGACCAATCTTGTTCCCAATATCAAGAATAGCCGAAACGCCATCGATTGGTTGGTCAATAGACAATCTAGAATCTCTAAGCTTCGATTTCTGATGATTCGGCCATGGAAATGAAGGTGGATTGATTTGAATCAAACCAGTAAAGCCCTGAGCTAATCTATCAGCTAAGTCTTGTCCATGTCGTTGTACCTCTTCCCAAGCTTCCATAGATCTTTCCACAGACATTTTGTCTTTTAGGTAACTCAAATCCTCATACGAAACAAAATCGGAATTGATCAAAAGGATTCAACTTTGCAACTCCACCAAAGAGTAAAGATAAGAACTTGAGGTTCCAAAAGCCACAAACTTTACGATAACCACACACACACAAAGGTGAGAGTGAGACCCAGAAAGGAAAGGTTGGAAATTTATGTGTTTTTTCTATCTTGGAGATGCCATGGAAACGAAGAAAGAGCTTTTCTTTTTTAAAAGAGGCTCACAAATCAATCACCTTACCGCCACGTTGATAGCAATGCCTGTGGCTCTTGGAGATAGGCTTGTTTTTCAGGCAAGCTTTTTATATAGTACTATCTTTTTGGGAATGGCCAATCTTTGTCCTCTTATGAAAAAGACATCTTCGTTTCATACTTATCCAGAAAGTTTCTGTATCAGTCAGAAGGTTTCTGAAGGAAGCTTATTATGGTGGGTGCTCTCAATGAGCAAAGATGAGTCCAACACAGATCAATGGCGGTACAAAATCGAGTAGAGGTCAAGGACTCTTCTTTTTAAGAGTCTTTTTTTTGGTACAAATTCTACTAAATTGATGTTTACTAGAAACAAATCTTCGACAAGGTGTTTAACTCACGCGGGAGGAGTACAGATAGTTCGGCTTAGGTTTTGAATCTCTGTCAGCAATCTTGAGACTGAGTCTTGTACCTCTTGAGGAACTTGTAGCTTAGGATGAGTCAAGTCCAATGGATATAATGTGATGACTTTCATTACAACAGACAAGTGCAAGTTCTGTGTTTTGCCATCCCATACACTCTGGTTTGGAAACTTGCACTTTGCTTTTAACACGCATTTATCGCACACCTATTATGCGAACAAAGACTTGGTTAGATGCTGTTGGGTGCAAGGAAAATGAGATGAAGACAGTGTAGTGTATCTATACAGTTTATAAGCTTACATTGTTCTCTGGGATATCGAAAAACTTGCGTAATGTTTTAGCAGCGAATATAGCCCTTTTTTCCAAACTCGGGCAACCAAATAGCACAACGTTCTTCAGGTCGCTACCCGATAACCACCTGAAAGTTGAGTCTGAAGTTATGGACGGCCGTGGATGCAAATAAGACGATTAAATCAGTCTGAAACTGCCAACTTGCAGCAACAACACCTAGCGGAGACTAAAATGCTGTAGGGTTAAGGCAATCAAGACCATACAATAGACTCCTAAAACTCGACGGTAGACAAACAATCCATTTGAAGCGCCTACGAACGTATTAATCACTTCTTACATCGGAATTTCTCTATCAATGCTACAACTGGCCTATGATCCAACCACAAGAACTCAAATTGCTGCAACAACACCTAAGGGTTTAAAACAATAAAGACCATACAAGAGATTTCTAAAACTCGACAGTCGACAAACAATCCATTTGAAGCATCTACGAATGTATTAATCACTTCTTACATCGGAATTTCTCTATCAATGCTACGAGTACACTATGATCGAACCATAAGAACTCGAATTCATCAAAAATGATTCCTCATTCGAATAGTACTAGCACCGAACCCCTACTTACCTTCCCCTAGAAATGTTAACATACAAATACAACGCAAACTCTACGAAGTGTCACACTTTATAGAAATGCCAAAGTTTTCAATCACAGACCCATCAAAGATGAGCATTTTACTCTAAACAAAACCTAAGTGCATCATCAACTCTCCAAAATTCAAGCAATCTAACAGAACATAGAAGTTCAAAGATTCTTACTTTGCTATTTCCTGGTGATCTTTACCAAATCTTTCAGCTGCAAACTTAAGAAAAGTTCTAGCATACTCTTCATCAAGACTCCCTATTTCCAACTTTTCTCCAGTGATGAAATTAGCATTGTTCAAATACCCTTGTTTATGCAAAAGCTTCACAAACGAAACCATCTCTAAAGGAAGCTCTTTATAAACCCTAATCACA